TTCATACCTATCAAGCCACCACCTAGCACAGAGCCTGGCAGAGCTCATGTTCAGTATGCATTTGTGGAATGATGAGAGCACCTGGTCTAGGAGAGACAGAAATGTATACAATCACATAAAATAATAAAAATGTGAAAATAAGATACAGTAGAGATGCTGTCCAAGGGAGAAAAAAGGTGCGGAAATCCAGGGAAACCCCTCTACCTGTATCTCTGAGGGTTCCTTACCTGATTTCTCAAGTTTCTTCTAATCTTGCTGCAGCTAGGTAGAAGCACTCTGATCATGAGTGCTTACTTTGAACCACGTGCTCTGCAAAGCATTTTACATGAACTGACTTGTTTCTCACCACTGCCCAATGCATTTCACTGATGAGGAAACTGAGGCTCAAAAATAAGATTCCTGCTTAATGTCAGACAACTATTAATAGTGGAAGACCCAAGATCTGAACCCAAATCTTCTGTCTCCTGAACCAGGGCTCCAACCGGTACTGTTTCTACTGTCTGTCAAAAGTTTTCACCTCCTCCCCAAATACCAAGTTGGCTAGGTTCAATTAAACCAGTAAGGTTAAACTAAGATTTGTTTTTTTCTTTTTTTTTTTTCAGATGGAGTCTCGCTCTATCGCCCAGGCTTGGAGTGCAGTGGCGCAATCTCGGCTCACTGCAAGCTCCACCTCCCAGGTTCACGCCATTCTCCTGCCTCAGCCTCCTGAGCAGCTGGGACTACAGGCGCCCGCCACCACATCCGGCTAATTTTTTTGTATTTTTAGTAGAGACGGGGTTTCACCGTGTTAGCCAGGATGGTCTTGATCTCCTGACCTTGTGATCCACCCGCCTTGGCCTCCCAAAGTGCTGGGATTACAGGCATGAGCCACTGCACCTGGCCTAAACTAAGATTATTTTTTAATTTTCACCATTTGAGTGAAAATGCACCTAAAATTATTACACATTTCCCTATTTCTTATAAATTGAATACCTTGAATATAATTTAACTTTTATTTTTTGCTATCTCAGAACCACTGCTGTATTTGTTACTAAGAATGCTGTAACACAGTAAGTTTTGTAAAAGACATTCTTCAGGAATGACTGTTATAACCGGGATGTAACAGATTGCCCTTGTATCAACACCCTTGGCCTGTGAGCACTTACAAGTGCTTGTAAGAGTTTTGACTCTGAATCTACCACTACCCCATGCCTAGTTAGAGCTATCATTTCTTGCTACTGTCAATGTTTGCCTCTAGCAGCCCATCTGATGTGCTACCTCTAATCTTCAATGGGCTGTGATACCATAGACGAGGTAGCAGTCATTAGTGCTATGCACCAAATATTTCTGGCTCTTTGCTTCCCAGACATATGCTAACACTGAAATTCTCTAACCTTCTTTAAAGTTAGGCATGGCTGTGACTTGCTTTGGCTAATGAAAATGTGAATGAAAGTGACATATGCCATAGTGGGACAGAAACTTGAAAAGCCAGTATCCACTTGACCACTATCTTTTCATTTAATCAAAATGGTCATGGCAGTACCATATTAAGATGGAGTTTCTATCAGCCTCAGTCCCTGAGTGACTGTGAAGAGTTTCCTGTACACTCATGCTGGACACATCACATGAATGAGAAGTCAAGTTTTGTTCTGTTACGCCACTGAAGTCTTGAGGTTTTTGTTAGTGCAACCTAATCCAAGGTATCTATATCAATACAGATCTCTCAGTAAGGGATTCTCTCACATAAACAACTTTATTTATAGATTTTAATGACAAACATTTTGTTTGGATAAAGAATTATCTTTGCCTCCATCCTGGTTCAAAGCTATTTTCAATATAAAATATATTTGCCAAGTACCTACTATGTACAAAGTTGGATGATGAAGAGGACAGTCTATGTCTTGAAATAGCTTCAGTCTTATATTGTGGGTAGAAGCAGGATTTAAGGCAGTTATCGCAAAAAGGCAGACTCTAATGTTATGGTGGTTTAAACTTTAAACTTAAAGAGGAGAGACATCTCATCTAGATGGGAAGAGAAGTACAGACAAGCTTCACAAAGGAAGTCCTGTATCAAATGGCCCTGAAACACACATAAGAACAATTAGGGTCAAGAAGACTACTTAAGATAGAAAAAGCCAACATGAGCAAAGATACAGAGCACAAACAGCAAAGCACAAAGAGCAAATAGTTCCACTGACCTGGAAAATATGAGAATGGCAAGAAATCAGTTTGCCCATATTGCCCATGCCAGGCTGGTCTGTGCCTAACCCAACAGATAATGGGGAGCCATTCAAAGTCCTGGCTGGAGAAGTGACAAACTTGGAAGTGATGGCAGTACAGATAATAGAGGGGAGGAAGGAAAAAAATGTTAGGGGGTTTCTGTGGTAATTCACAGGAATGGTCCAATGGCCCCAAATCAGTGTGATAACAGTAGGAGTGAAAAGCAGCAGATGCCAGACTGAGTACGGAGGCTCACGCCTATAATCCCAGCACTTTGGGAGGCCAAGGTGGGCAGATCACTTGAGATCTGGAGAATTACTTTAACCCGGGTGGTGGAGGTTGGAGTGAGCTGAGATGGGGCCACTGCACTCCAGCCTGGGCGACAGAGGGAGGCTCTGACTCAAAAACAGAAGCAGATGCCAGAAACAGTGTGGAAGTAGGGTCAACAAGAGCTGGCACCCAACCAAAAACACAGGGGAGAAAAAAAGAAAAATAAGAATAAATTTAAGGTACAGCTTCTGGGTTGAGAGAACTGTTATTCCAAGTAGCTGAGGTGAATCAGAAAAGCGACAATGGGCTAGGTGTGGTGGTTCACGCCTATATTCCCAGCACTTTGGGAGGCTGAGGTGGAGGATTTCTTTTTTTTTCTTTTTGACTGAGTTTCACTCTTGTTGCCCAGGCTGAAGAGCAGTGGCGCGATCTCAGCTCACTGCAACCTCCCAGGTTCAAGCGATTCTCCTGCCTCAGCCTCCCGAGCAGCTGGGATTACAGGCGCCTGCCACCACCCCTGGATAATTTTTTGTATTTTTTTTTAGTAGAGACGGGATTTCATCATTTGGCCAGGCTGGTCTTGAACTCAAGGTGGGAGGATTTCTTGAGCCTAGGAGTTCAAGACCAGCCTGGGCAACATGGCAAGACCCTGTCTCCACAAAAAAAAATTTTTTTTTTTTTTAAATTCGCCAGGTCACCTGCCTGTGGTCCCAGCTACTTGGGAGGCTGAGGCGGGAGGATCGCCTGAGTCCAGGAAGTCAAAGCTGTAGAGAGCCATGTTCACTGCACTCCAGCCTAAGGGACAGAGGGAGACCCTGTCTCAAAAAAAAAAAGAAAAAGTGACAATGGTAAGTGAAGTGTTACCATATTCCTGATAGTTAGCTCCAGCTTCCTCGGAAATAAATTCTATTACTTGTTTACTCTTTGCACCATACAGGACAAAGGTACCTCTTGGATTAATGCCATCAACCCACCTTTTGTGCAACCTCATATCCTGCTTTTTCTGCTAAGAAACTCCCTGCAACCACCCATGAGCATCTCAGGTTCCCCTGCACCTTTGCCATCCTCACTTTCTCATCTGCTCACTTCTTCTTCTTCATCCAGCCAGGCCTACCCACTCTTCATGACCCAATTCAAGCCTCAGCTTCCCTGTGAAACCTTCCTCAAACACACTGATTTCTCCTTTTCCCGGTTTCTCATAGTACCTACCATCTTGGAATTCTAGAGACCATATCATAGTTATCACTGTCATGTGTGTGCTTTATTCCCTCAACTATATTATAGGCCCATTAGAACAAGTTTCTTATCTTAAATGGTTTTGAGTTTCCCCTCAGTCAATGCCTTGCATAAAACATATACTCAAGAGGCGTTCCATTGATTGATACAAAGTCTGTTAGTCTCTAAGAACATGAATGCCTTGTTTCATCATTTTTTATTTTTATTAAGCCATGGTTAGACAGACATGGGAAATGAAGAGATTCACCACTTAGTATCTCAAAATATTCTTAAGAATTTCTAATCATAGGAGGAGCTGTTATTGCCTTAAGAGATTATTTGAAAATATCATTTGGTAATAAATTTCTGTGCCAGCTTCCTTTTAATCCTCTGTTGACTTGAAAGTACACCAAACATTTCAGTGATCATCTCTACAAGATAATTCTGACTTAGAAACAACCTAATTTGTCATGGGGACTATCTTACTTTTAGTAACCTAGTAAGAGTTTTTTCCTACCTTCATGTCCAGCTATCTATAATTCACAGTACATCCACTGAAAAGTTTTGAGTACTTTACTTTCTGAGGTAATAGCTGCCTTCACTGGTCCCCCATTCAATTAATTACATTCAGTTACAAGATTTCACTCCTTCCTCATACGTGAAGGAAACATAAACAAAAATGAGGCTTACTGAGGAATCATAAAAAGGGACATTGTTGTAAAAAGGAATCCAAAATGTTCATGGGACACTCTCTTAACCAAATCTGCTCTTCTCTCTAAGATATATTCTCTTGCAAGCAAAAGCACCGAGGAGACAACGGGGGAAAGTGCCAGAAGGAAAGGAAGCAAGAGAGGCGTACTTTGCTGATCAAACTGACCCCGGTTCTGGCCCCCCCTAGAGCAGTAAGCAATGACAACGACTACCCATACGCTGCCGATTCCCGCTCAGGCGCTCCCTGGACTTTTCTTTCCTCTTCCCACAGCAGGGCCCGAATGATGGTGTCGGGGCTCTGCGCCAAGGTGCGCAGCGCTGCGGGGTCCCGCACAGAGATGACCTCAGACCTCCTGGCCCGCGTCCGGGCGGCCTTTCCCCCAGGCTCGGCGGCCCCCACCCAGGCGAGGTCATCCAGATACCGGGCCCCCAGCCCGAAGGACGACTGGGCCGTGCCCCGACCCCTCCTTCCCGGGCACTAGCGCGCGGGCTCCGCGCCCCGCCCAGCCCGGGAACCGCGGCCGGCGGGGGAGGGGCGGGGCGGCGCGGCGACCGTTATTCGCGGTCAGCCATCGCGCCCCGAAGCGCACTGGGCAGGCCCTTACCACAGCGGAGAGGGAGGCAGGGGGAAGGTGGCGCCCGGCCCGACGCGGGGCAGGAAGGCGGAGGCGGCGGCGGAGGCGGCGGCGACAGCCGCGGGGGACCCCGGCGGGCGCCCACGACGCGGTGGGCTGCATGGGCGCCGCCATAGTGGGGACGCAGCGGCGGGCGGAGCGCGCGGCCGCGACCCGGTCGGGAGCCTGCGACCAATGGGCGCGCGGAAGCCGGGCGGAGCGAGGGCCTGGCCAATGCGGAGCTGCGCTGCCCCGAGCAGGCCAATAGACGCAGGAGCCGCGGATTTGCCGGCCCGCCCACCCCGCCTACCACGGGACCAGAGCTGCGGCAAGTGCGGGGTCAGAGCTTCGTGCTGGTGGAGCGCCCCAGCCTGCAGGTTCCGCGCGGGTGTCTCTCCCGGGCACGACGAGCCGTCTAGAGGAACCCTCTTCCCCCGGCCTCACGGCCCAGAGGACGCACGGCTCTCTCCCCTCGAGAGCCTGTTTCGTCGCCCGCGCGGGGAACGTAAAGTGCTGGGGTAGTCACCGCCACTTCACACCGAGGAACATCTCATCTCGGCCTCCAGGTTGTGAGCGCACCCAGTCCGCTCACTGAGGCCGAAAGCTTCAGACCTCCGTGGGCCCTGGTGGGTAAGGGGGCACGGAGATGAGCGTTAAGAGACTCGTAGAACATTTTTAGTCCGGGCATGGCACAGGGCCTCCAAGCCCCACGTAACCTTTGCAACCCTCCCACCCCACTTTTTCATTCCTGCGGCTGAGCCCTGGTGTTATCCGCCTGGGGCGGGATTTAAAACTGTATTCAACAAAGCTGGGGTGGTCTTTAAACTGCAACCTTGGATCCAAAGGCCCTACCTTACTGAGGGAAGGCAGTTTGCCCTACAAAAAAGGCTTCTGGGAGGAGCTGCCTAAGGCAGGAAGGGACTGGCAGACCAGGAGGTGCCGCTTTTGACTGGGGCCAGTTCTCGAGGTCGACCCGACTGCATAGGCAGCCAGTAGGGGGAGAATAGACCGGTCTGTGTGATTTGGATCACCTGAGTTGCGGTTTCCTAAGAGTTATTACGTTGACCAAAATAAAAAGTGGTTTCTGGAAAACTGGTCAGCTGCTGAGTAAAAACTGCTGGGATTAAACCCAGCGCCCACCGCTGGAGGAAGTGGGGTCATCGAGAAAGGTAGGGACCCTGTGTAAAAAGGCTGGTGAAGTGTTCCCCTCTTCCAAAGATGGATGGATTAGTGAATTGGGCTCTCTCACCAATCCATTAAGGCCTGGTTCTGCCCAGCCTCCCTTGCTACATCCCCTGGGAATCCTCAAGTGGCCTGTGGGGGGGGAAAAAAAGGCCAACTTCCCTCTCTGGGCCCCAGGAGGGAGCTGACATAAAAAAAGATCACCTCCTGCACCTGTCTTCACAATGAGATACCAATTAGCAACCACCTCTCACCCGCAGGGGCACAAGGAAGCATCCAGAGTAGCTGAGCTGACCCAAGCCTCTCCCGCACCTGGACAGGGCCATGCCTCAGGAAGTGCCTGGCCGTTCAAGGGCCAGCCGGTGCAGCTCCGGGGCGCCCAAGTCCTGCATCTTTTCATTGCCCCCCTCCCTGTTCTATGGTTCCCCATCCTTGTCCAGTTTGACCTCAGGGACCCACCAGCCAAAGGAGATTGCATCTTCCCCCAGGGAAGCTTCTCACCAACTAGACAGCTCGGAAAGCAATCTGAGGATCCCACTGGAGGTTGGGTCCCTTGCTTTTCAAGCACCTAAAACGCACCCCGTTCTTCACACTGGTTCCACAATGTGTGTATAACACAGATACTGGCATGAACTTAGGCCAGCTTAACGAAGATGTATCAAATGGGGCAGCAGTGAGAGATACTCTGTTGAGAGGACTCATTGGTCTGGTGCTTCCTGTTACCTCATCCTGCCTGTCTCTAAGGCAGAGCAAGCACAACAAAGAGGTGCTCAGAGCCAGAAGTGTCCCTGTTCCCATGACCCACCATACTTGGCCTAATACAGAGCTTGACAAGCAAAGGACCCACTCTCTGGAATTTCCTAGGGACTGCCTTACTGATTTGTCTTCAAATACACAGCCCTGCTCCAGAGCCTATGACTAGATACACCCCCAGCCTGACGTGGACCACTTGGGCTCCTTGGGGCAGACAGCCAATCCTCTGCTCAACACATTTTATTGCTAAGGACAAGGTGATGCACCAGTTTTCAAAATAATTTGGTTTATAGTGTTCATACGTAACAAAAAAGGGGAAGTATTATAAATCTGATTCTTGTATACACAGGGTATTGGTGTGAAGCCCTCCAACCCTGGGCCCAGGCAAACAAATTCTCGAGGAGCAAAAACCTGTTTAACCCCTTCAGTATTGCCCTCTAGTCCCACCCCCACCCCAAAATCAGCTCCCTCCCACCCACAGTGGGCCTCCAATGGCCCCAGTTTTTTCATCCTAACTCTATAGTAAGCCCCTGCATGATTGCAATTTTCTGTTGACAGAATCACCCACCAGGCTCTGCCTGCTTCCATCATTAAAATCCCCGCTTCAGGGTAATCCCCACCCACACCCTCTAATACTTTGCCACAGGGGCTCTGCACCTAGAGTGTTGTGGGCACACACCCATGTTATCCCCATGTTCTCCTTCAGGGGAAGACAAAGAGGTGGCATCAGCTCCTTAGCATCTCAATACTGCAGCTCTGCCAGCACTGTCTTGAGGCTGTTCCAGGCCTGGACAGATGCCACACCCATCTCCAGCCAACCCCCAGGAGCCCTTACTCAGCTCAGCTGAGGGCAGAATTTCACATTTTGTTTGCCCTGCATAGGCAAGGAAGAAAGTAAAGGCCAGGGGCTGGCAGAAGCTGGTCCAGACCAAACATACATACACACACACACACGCGCGCACACATACACACACACATACACACATATAAATACAAAAGTAGGGGTTGGGGCAAGTACCAGCACCTCAGCCTAGTAGGTGCAGGTGATAGTTATGAAGCTAAGTCCTAGGCCAGGAACAGGGCAGCCAGTCCAGCCAGCACAGTTGACCCCTCTATGGACTGGGGCCAGTGCAGCCACAGCATTCCAGTGCTCAGCCCCGTAGCTGGCAGATCAGCGACTGCTGCCACGTGCCCAGAAACGGCTCGTCCTTTCGCTACAGCGGAATGCAATGAGGGTGGGTGGGAGGATGATGGGTCGGTTATTTCATTCCTTTTCTTTTTACAACTTCACTTTCAGAGACTTCAGAGCTCCATGTCTGCTGTGCTGTGGAACCCAGAGTGCTCTTGCCTGGATGGCTGGGAATTCCTTGGACCCTGGAAGCACCTACTCCATGATGGCCCGGTATAGTGCAGGCTCAATATAATCTTCCCGGTATCTTGAGTTGATAACTCGTTGCCGTTTCTTTTCTTGTTTAACCTCTTTCTCTGTGAAAATCTCATTGAAGCGCATGTCTGAGGCTACTGACTATAGAAGAATAAGCAAGCCAAATGTCAGCTACCCTAAGAAAAATACAAAGGGATGCATCCTTGCCTTGTTCCCTCCCTCCAAGACAGGAACTGGGGACACACAGAAAATACTCACCAGTCTAGATTTGACTCTCTTGGGAAGCTCTTCATCCAGTGTGTATACATCATCTCTCTTAACCACAAGCTGTGAGCCATCCTCAAACTCCACCTACCAAGGAAACAAAGGCCTTTTGGCTAGGATATCCCTGACTCTTTCCCTGGTTCCCATGCACAGTGGCAGTCTCCTACAGTCAAAGGAAGGAGTTAGCACACTAAAATAAGGACTACCTTACTTCACATTTGGCAGACTGGACACAGGACAGACCCCTAGCTCTGAAAGGGTTACCAGCCTATTAGCTCTCCTAAGAGCAAAGACTTGCCTCTGGCCCAACAGGAAGCACAGAATTAATCAAGCATCCCCCACTCCCTAGAAAGGTAGAACCTATGGATACCTGGTACATTTGGATAGGGTGGGAGGCCACAAACTTGGCTCCATAGACTTGGCCATCTGTCCATCTCACTTGGACCACTTCCCCTTCAGCAGGAGGACCCAACTGGAGACAGTCCTGGCTCTGAGGAAACAGGAAGGAAGGAGGGTGAAAGGAAGGTCCACCTGCACACAAAGGTAACTGTCCTCTACTCAGGGAAGAGTGAACCAGGACAAAGTAACTGTTTTAGAGAGCAAGGCAGCTCTCTGGGCTGAAAAATGTTAAAGACCTTGCTAAGTCAAAGTCTGCCCCATCTCTGCCCTCTCCTGCTTCTAGGTGACCAAAAAAAAAAAAAAAAAAAAAATCAAGCTATAATAAACTTAGTAAACACAGGAGTTAAGTGCCAGAATCAAGAGTCCTCCTTAAATTCCCTCAACTGTTCCCCTGAGGGTTCTCCAGGGCTCTGCCATGAAAAAATACCAGAACCATACTCAACTATAAGAAATGTTTTTTTCTTGGCCAGGCATGGTGGCTCATGCCTGTAATCCCAGCACTTTGGGAGGCTGAGGCAGGCAGATAACGAATTCAGGAGATATAGACCATCCTGGCTAACAAGGTGAAGCCCTGTCTATACTAAAAACACAAAAAATTAGTCAGGCGTGGTGGCGGGCACCTGTAGTCCCAGCTACTCGGGAGGCTGAGGCAGGAGAATGGCATGAACCCAGGAGGTGGAGCTTGCAGTGAGCCGAGATTGCGCCACTGCACTCCAGCCTGGGCGACAGAGCGAGACTCCGAGATGGAGTCTCCTGGGTTCTAGCAATCCTCCTGCCTCAGCCTCCCAAGTAGCTGGGACAATAGGCACATGCCACCATGCCCGGCTAATTTTTGTATTTTTAGTAGAGACGGGGCTTCACCATCTTGGCCAGCCTGGTTTCGAACTCCTGACCTCAGGTGATCTGCCTGCCTCAGCTTGCCAAAGTGGTGGGATTACAGGCATAAGCCACTGTGCCCAACCAAGAAATATGTTCTTAACAAGAAAGATGAGAAAGGATCACCTACCATGGGACCTGACAAAGTACTTCAGAACTTTTATTCCTTCCAGAAGCAGGTAAGTACCCCAAGTCCTCATCGTATTCCCAGCATAGGGCTTGGTATATGGGGGGGAGGTTAACACACAAGCATATTGGCTGAATGAAAGGTCTGATGGGTATACCTGAGAGAAGGTCCTTAGGGACATGGCTTAAAAAATAAAAATCAGAGAGGGGCGGGGCAGGGCAGTGAGTCTAAAAGGATGTGGATGCTCACAACTGCTCTTACAATCACGCTACCATTCATTTATTGAGTGGAAACAGTTCCCTACTTATTTATTGAATAGGTAATCAGTAAATACATTTTGTATCAATCTAACACTTAGGCATAAACTATAGCCTCCTACACCCAATATCTGAGGTGTTCTAAGATTTAACTACTCAAATGTTTGATATTTGATAAATTGCTTAAGTTCTCTGCAATTCAGTTCCACCTCCTATAACAGCACTTCTGAAAATGTGGTCTGTGAACCTCTGAGGGGTTCCTGAGACACTGTCAGGGAGCAAGTGAGACATGACTATTTTTATAATATTAAACTATTAGCCTTTGTCACTGTGTTGTCATTTACCTAGGATAGGTACAAATGCTGGCACCTGAGTGCACATCAAGGCACTGACCCCAAGCTCTACTAGTTGTTATTGCATTTTTCACCACTGTACACTCATAATTAGGAGAAAAGAGCAAAAACTCGATTGCATGTAACAATATCCCTTGATGAAGCAGTAAAAATTATTAATTTTGTTAAATCTGAATCATTGAGTACATGTGTTAAGTCCTCATAAAACACTTCTGGTTGTCTCAAAGCAATATATCTGTGTTGTTTGAGTTGTAAATTACACTAGCTGCTTTGTTCATGGAATACCAGTTTTATTTGAAAAAAATTACTGGGCCGGGCACAGTGGCTCATGCCTGTAATCCCTCACTTTGGGAGGCAGAGGTAGGAGGATCGCATCAGCCCAGGAGTTCAAGACCAGCCTGGACAACACAGGGGAGATCCCATCTCTACAAAACATAAAAAATTAGCCAGGTATGGTGGCACGCGCCTATAGTCCCAGCTACTCAGAAGGCTGAGGATTGCTTGAGCCCAGGAGGATGAGGCTGCAGTGAGCCATGATTACGCCACTGCACTCCAGCACTGATGCTGTGCAACAGAGCGGTACCCTGTCTTTAAAACACTCTATGAAATAAAATTTTAAAAAAGAAAAAAAGTGACTGACAAACTGTGGCTTTTCAGACTTAGGTATGTGGTATATCTTCTTGAAAACGAATTAAGTGAACGCCTGTCATATCAAGGAAAACAAGAGTCGGTATCTGTTGCCAATAATAAAATTCAGGCTTTCAAGCAAATATTAGCATTTCAGAGAAGCGGCATTCACAACTGTGGGCTTGAAGCTTCCCAAAATTCCAAGTTTTTATATTATTATTAGTGATACTAACAAATGTAATTTTTAAAATATTTATGGCTGGGCACGGTGGCTCACGCCTGTAATCCCAGCACTTTGGGAGGCCGAGGCAGGCAGATCACGAGGTCAAGAGATTGAGTCCAGCCTAGACAACATGGTGAAACCCCATCTCTACTAAAAATACAAAAATTAGTTGGGCATGGTGGCGCACATCTGTAGTCCCAGCTTGGGAGGCTAAGGCAGGAGAATCGCTTGAACCCAGGTGGTGGAGGTTGCAGTGAGCCAAGATTGCACCACTGCACTCCAGCCTGGCGACAGAGAGAGAGACTGTCTGAAAAAAAAAGAAAAAAAAAATTATAATAATATTTAACAACATTTAGAGGCTATCCATAGGCCAGTGCACCAGTATTTTCTAAATGATCAATGTATGATGTTATAAAAGGATGCATGGGTGAAAGATCAATTCAGAAGAGACCATTGGGTTTTAGTGTTAACAGTATGAAACGTT